TCAACAAGCGAATACCGTATCTACGACCGGAGACCTTCTACTCCTTCTCACAAGCCACCTTCGAGGCTCATTCTACCGCTGTTCCGACTCATCTACCGAACACGGTACCGATCGAGAGGCTGCTATCATCAGGTCGGTAGCAGTGCTTGTAGGCTGGGGTCCCATGTACATTCCTCTCGGGGCAATTCCTCTCGACACCCAGGGTCCTGCCACTTGAATGGCTAGAGACCANTCTACCGCTGTTCCGACTCATCTACCGAACACGGTACCGATCGAGAGGCTGCTATCATCAGGTCGGTAGCAGTGCTTGTAGGCTGGGGTCCCATGTACATTCCTCTCGGGGCAATTCCTCTCGACACCCAGGGTCCTGCCACTTGAATGGCTAGAGACCACACGGACCCACATAGACAAGGACCCGCCCCTATCCCTCGCCTCTCCTTCCGTCATAGGACGTGCTCCGACGCTTCGGCATGCCCCCTAAGATGCTGGCGGTCATTCGCCACTTCCACGAGGGCATGAGGGCGCGCGTCCGAACGGACGACGGGCAGTACTCGGAATGGTTCGACGTGGGCCAAGGTCTCCGACAGGGATGCAACCTGGCCCCGCTGCTGTTCAACTTATTCTTTGCCGCGATGCTCATGGTCGCCGTGGCCGAGTTCGACAAGGACCCCAAGGTGACGGCGGACATGGTCAAGATCGGGACACAAGTGGAGTACACGGGCAAGAAGGGCAGGTCGGCGGGGAAGAAGACGACGGTGGTGACGGACGCGGAGGCCTTGTGGGCCATGCTCTACGCTGACGACGCGGCCATCGTCTCGTGCTCGCAGGAGATTCTCGAGAAGATGATTTCGGTCATCGTGCGCGTGGTCGGCCTGTTCGGACTGATGGTATCGGAGCCAAAGACGGAGATCATGTGCATGCTTGAGCGATGGCGGGGGGCGTGGGATACCGAGGCGGGCAGGAGAGCGACTGCGTGTTTCGTCTAGGAGAGGACCTCGTGGCCTTCAACATGGGAGACGAAAAGGAAGGGGGGAAATGGAAAGAGAGCGCCAAGAACTCGGAGGTGTGGTACAACAAGGTCGAGGACGGGGCGGCATGGTTCATGAGGAAATGGCACAGGCAGGAGGCGGAAGCGTCCGCGAAGCGCCAGCGCGCGAGGGAAGCAGAAGTAGAGAGTACGGCCATCTCAGGACCGAAGAGAAAGAGTCGGGGAAGCGGCGGTGGGGGGGGAGAAACGGCAACCGGGCACTGCTGTAGAAGCGAGTAGGGCGGCCGAGGCCGCACTTGTGGCGAAGTTTTTTTTTTTGTGTCGTCTGCCCCTCTGGCCCCTATCCTCCACTTCTACCAGCTTGACGACCCAACCGGGGTCACATAGGAGGGGCGAGTTGGACCCCCTCCTGAAGTTCCTGCCTGAGATATTTTTATCGCGAGAAGGGTACAGCAATCCCCTCCCTCGATCAAGTTTACTAANTCCTCCACTTCTACCAGCTTGACGACCCAACCGGGGTCACATAGGAGGGGCGAGTTGGACCCCCTCCTGAAGTTCCTGCCTGAGATATTTTTATCGCGAGAAGGGTACAGCAATCCCCTCCCTCGATCAAGTTTACTAACAACTATGTACCCGGCTGATGTTGTTGCGCCCTGTTTCCCTCCCTGCTGTATGCTATACTCCTTTGTGTATGTCCTTTGTATTGCCTTCGACCTCTGTGCTGTATTTCTTTTTTTTCATGTCCTCCCTCCCTACTCTGCTGTGTTGAGTACCTTGATCTCGCTTTTGCTGTTGCTTTTGTTTTTGTACATCTGGCTGTATGCCCATCTGCCGCCTCTTTGTCCTGTTTGCTCCGTTACTCCCATGCCCTGGCGCGTAGTACCTGGTGCTGGTACGTTACCCTTTGATTTTTTCTTTAGGCGGGTGTGGGAAGCATCCTCCTTTATTTTATTTTTGTTTTATTTTGATAGTTTCCGAGGGCTGTCTTCTCGAACGGTCGGTGCGATACCTGTTCTTTTCTTTCCATCATTTTGTTTCCTTTTTCCGAGTGGTTTGTACACTATTTTTGGTTTGTTTCCCCGCGGGGCGTCGTTTGTGCCGGGTTTTGAGATCACGGGCTCCCCATTTTTTGTGGACTATAGAGCTAATGTGAGAAACAACAATAACAAACAACAATTGCGGAAAAAAGGTGGCGAAGGGGCCTGAAACAAACGTATGCAACAAAGCGAAGTAGGACTATGTACCTGGTAGACCACCATGTATACCCACCGTCCGCGCCAGTTGGACCGGTACGAGTGTTAGAAGGTACTGAGCATACACCGGAACGGATATTTTGCGCAAACATACCAGTACATCATACGCGCAGGGCGGTGCGCGCGTGATCGAATTGCATCACTGCATATGACAGCGAAAACATGTAACACACAGTAGATCATCCCGCTTCGTGCACGTTCCGTCTATTTGGCGGACGTCTGTTTGCAGCGCTGGGGCCAACAAACTCGTACCGAGTTCCTATCAATTTAGGGGTGTGTGAGTTTGTGAGAGATTCTGCGGGTTGGGCGGCAGCACGTAGGTGTCATGTGACGAGGACAACTCTACCCAGCGCCTCTCCTCCTACGGCACGAAAGACATTGACTCGCAGGTCTTCGGATTACTTGTGCCACTTTCTGTTTCACTGCATTCGGTTGGCCCGATGAGCCCGCATGAGTATATTTTGGCTATGTACGAATCTTCGGTTGATCCATCGGAGCAGGGACGTAAAAAGTGGGACACCCGCGTGTGGCATGCAGACTACATAGCGTATACTATGTGCGACGCTACGACATTTGGCCAAACTCGATGAGAAGCGCCACGAACGGCGATCGAAAGGTCTTCGCCTGGTTCACGTTCTACTGTAACCCCCGTGGGTGCGCAAAAAACAGAGTTCCTGAACACCAACCTAGGTAACGCCGTACACCGTACCTGGTATGGTCTACGGACCATGGTTTGCGGTTACATGAGGATACCTGTGCACCTCCCCTCCCCCCAAGGGTGTGGGAGTCCACTACTTGGCAAGAGAGGATAAGGGAAGATTTAACACCAATTGCCCCCTCGCCATTATACGAGTTCCTTTGGTAACACTCCGCACAAGCGACGATCACGAACATATCGTCCATTATAACTTCTTGTGCTCGGAGAGGTAAGCTGAGCGAGAAAAGTATCTCAAACCGCTAGCAAGCCCCGTGCAGGCGACGTCGTCAACGGTTTCGCAAAAGGCGAGTGAATGCCAAATCCCGTACACCCCGCCTATCAAGGTTAAACGCGAAGCAACAATCGCCTCCTCCTCCACTCGGGGGATGTACACGAAGTCAGGGGTTGTACAAGTCACATACCATCATCTTGATCAACGACTACTTGAGTATACGAACAACGGGACCCCCGCAGAGGGTCAACCCTATCAACACATCATATCTGCTATATGAGTCAAGTTACTCTAAACCGGTCGGAATTGTACCGAACCGCAGGGCACTACGTTAGTAATATCTGCCTCCGCCATTCCAAGCGGGTCCACCCGAACTCTGCAAAAATCGCGCCAATAGGGGGGAGGAGGGGCGCGTGTGACGACGGCACAAGGGGTTAGGGTGCTTGTTGTACGTGTGCGTAATTTCTTCTCGACGACAGACCTTCCGGATGGGAATAACGGACCATCCCAGTGCTGGAAAGACAAATATTTTGATCAGCGAGGGAACGACTACGGCTGCATATGTCTCCGTGGGGCATGCATGCTACATCCCTTGGTTCTCCGCATTTACTTTTCTTTCAAGGGACACATATTCATGTGTCCCCGAAGCCCCGGACATCAAGAATGCAACACCCCAAGGGACACCAAACCTCCCATCCCCTTGGTGTTAAGCAAGAAGCACGTGTTTTGAGAGAGCCAGCACAAAAAGCGGTGCACTCTGCAATATGCCCGTTCCGTATCGATTTTCTGGCGCCTTGGGGATGAAGGGTAGGGGTGCTGCGAGCTTCCTTCTGGAGGGGTATATTCTGTCAACAACATGTACGCTCGATGTTGCCGCGCTGCTATATAGAATATCCCAGTCAAAGATGCAAAGGCATGGGCGCGCGAGATGGAAGTTTGCGATCCTGCTGCTCGAGTAGCTACGCAGACAGTCAACGTGCCTTTCTTTGTGCAGCGCCACAAGTACGCAAGAACAACGCCTGCATGAGCGCACAGACAGGCGAATCCCTGGACTAACCTTCGGAGTCTCTTGCTAAACAAGCACCGGGTGGCTCAATGGCGGGGTGGTTTTCGTGGTCAAAGATCGGCGTCCTTGAAAGTATTCCCTCACCTTTCCACTATTTTCACGCCAACTGTCCCGCTCTTGAGTGTCGGCCCGAGCTCATCGTCTCTCCTGTGGTCTACTTTCACGTACAGTCTGCCGGGCGCGATCTTGGCGCCCCCCTTGAGAGGCTACGGTGAGCGGGTGCAAACATGCGGACATACGGCAGCGACTAAGGTTCAGTGCGCCGGGAGGGAACGCTCAACTCGCTGGGTGTACCTGGAAGTTTTGCCAATAACGCTGTATTGGGGGACATGTTTTACCATGGAAATACTGGAAGTATGTAACACCAACTCGAGAGGATGCCCTTCAGAGAATGTCACGGTTTTCAGTTTCGTGCATGTTGAAAGACAAGATAACCTCCACGACTGCATGCTGTGATTTCTTCACAGCACGAGAAGATATACGCCCTCTGAAAGCGCGGAAGCCAGTCACACCGCGACAGTGGCACCGGTCGCCCCGGTGGTCTAGTGGGTAACCTCGCAGCCTGCTGAGGGCCAGGTCATGGTTCGAGTCCCGGCAGAGTGAGTCTTTTCTCACTAAATAAATCCTGGTCTAGGATGAAAGCGACGCGTTGCAAAGCTCGTTGTTAGTAAACCATAATCGACTTCATAAGTCGCGAGGGAAGGGATAGCTGTACCCTTCTCGCGATAAAAATACCTCAGGCAGGAACCGCAGGAGGAGGTCCAGCCCCCCCCTCCTATGTGACCCCGGTTGGGTCGTCTAGCTAGTAGAAGTGGAGGATAGGGGGCAGAGGGGCAGACGACAGAATCCGATGATGGGAAAAACAAAACAGTGGTAAATGCACGGCACTTCAAGGCAGCGGCGTCGAGCCAGCACCACATGTCACTGGTTCCCAACCGGTTTCTCGCCAACGCGCGAACACAGGCATCGATTGCATGGATGAAGGAGGTGCGGATGAAAACACTCACGATTTCCAGGTTGTTGACCTGCAACAACAGGAAAGGGTAGAGCGGTTCCTTAAACAAGCCCCAAACCCACAATCCTGCGCCTCGCGTGTCCTCCGCCTCAGACAGTGTCCAGCGCGCTTTGCCAGCTTGCTGCGTGAAGTACGGGTTGTCCTGCAAGAGGATCACCACCGGCGAGAGCGGCTAAGACAAAGCGGGTGCCAATCGCTCTACAATAACACTATTATAAATACCGTATTGCTGTAATCACAGGATGGCTTGAAAAGCATCGCGCTCACCTCACTTCCAACTCTGAGCATGTACTGTACAGTACCAGCGCCGACATGTTTTGAGGTTGACCAAGTCTAATTCGCATGAATTGATGGGTGCGGAACTACCCTTTGGTAGCCCCCTTCCTTCCCACCCCAACTTCCAACTGCTGCACAGCTGTACACAAAGGTGATTATATCGGCCATGGCGCGTAGAACGCGGTACCACAGGGTGCACCTTTGCATGTCCATCCCACCAATTTCAAGAAACACGACGACAAAGATCCAGCAGAAAATTGGCACCAGTAGCGCCACCACTATCGCCACCAACACGTTGTAAATACCTTGACGACTGAGGAAACACAGCAATCACGCGGCAATAATCCTCAGCGGTCAAAACCTCTTTGGAGATTTTCTCACCTCTATGACTTCTAGCGAGCCTTGCGGAGGCTCAAAGTCTCTCTCCTCGTCAAATCGCACTCGTACGGCCACTTCCGTCGTGTCTCCTGCCTCTCCGCCAAGTGTTGGGTCCTGCAAGAACGTGGGGGAATACTATGTAGGTGTAAAACACTGCCGCCCAACGTTTGCGTAGGACCCGGTTACGCAAGGTTCTTTCATGAGTTGGGCGGATGCACACAAGAGCAGAGACCAGGGCGTGATGTCGGTGCGCACGTTGTTTAACATCGTTCTTCGTACTTATGTACTCGTACAACATATGCTTGCGCGCATGATGCGCACAGGGAGCAAAGAAACAAAAAACTGGAAAAAAGCAGTGGCCGAAATCGGGTACACCCGATCCGAACACGGCCATCATCGGGCACCATTATTTACGCAGCTGGCTGCGCCCTCCTGGCTCGATCTGATCGGCCGACGCCCGCCCCTACCCGGCCCTGACCCTATTTCCGCCGGGTGCATCCGATCTTGACTACTCATCCGTCGGGGTGCCCGATTCTACTCTCCACTACCCGAAAATGGCTAGGTTCTTCGACCAACAGCCCATCAGTACTCTCCACGCTCACGAACAAACGTCAGCAACTCCCCGCACTCGAACCCCGACGCTTCCGACGGCGGGCGGAGGCGGACCCACTGCCGACGGCGGAACTCTCTCGATTCTCGTTTCGGAGAGAGAAGGCCAGGCGGGTGGATGGATACCTGCAGCAGAGAGATCCACCGTTGAACGATACTTCCGCCGCCGGCGGTGGGTCCGCCTCCGCCCGCCGTCTGAAGCGTCGGGATTTGAGTGCGGGGCGGCCCTGACGTGTATTCGTGAGCGTGGTCTGCTGGTGGGCTGTTGGAAAGAACAGCCTCATCTATTTTCGGCTAGGGGAGAGTAAAATCGGGTACCCCGACGGATGAGTAGCCAAGATCGGGTGCACCCGGCGGGAATAGGGTCAGGACCGGGTAGGGGCGGGCGTCGGCCAATTAGATGACGCAAAGAGGACGCTGCCAGCTGCGTACAATACCCGATAATGGTCGTGATCGGACCGGGTGTACCTGATTTTGGCCACTGCTAAAAAAAAAGAGAGTTGGGTTACTCTCATTGGACAAGGCCCTTCAACCCGCACTGTCGTTACCCAAGGCCGAGCCTATAAAGACGAGTGAGTGCCAACCTTCGTGAGCTATGTGGACTATCTCCTGCTTTTTGTAGACTATACACGGCCACCACGAACATCCCATCCGTGCGCGTGTCCTGCTGTAGAACTACCGCACAAACCAAAACCGTCATGCATGGTGAAAATCAATCAATCTGAAAAAACAATGAAAAAGGAAAAGATGGAGGGAAAACATGTATTGGGAGTCCGTGGGCCCATAGCGGGTTCAGCCTACTCGGTTGTGAAGAACTTCATGACTCACCAGAGAGTCAGTGCCAACGCGCCAACTCTCTCGTATACCATTTATCACCTGCCGTTGAGTATCCATCACCACCACACCCTAATCCGTGGGCATGGCGTACTACTGCTGTAGGTACGGCACAAATCAAACCGCAACTGACTGCTGTACCTCCGACGCAGCCAGTTCGGAAATCGTATCTATCCATCCGCCTTCATTTCGCTCGTCTCAGCACCTGTGGGGCTGACGCGCGCAGCATACGCACACACCTCTTTATACTCTCGGTGTACCTTTCTCATACACACCCACAAGCATATTTCCTTTTGTCTCTCTGGAAGGGATCGTATCTACAGAGAGGGTTGGAAATCTTGTTCTAAATAAAACACGCGAACCTGCAAAGTCGGACTGCTGCGGTCATCTTACACTGGCTACAAATACAAGTAGACTGTTGTGCATACGTTGTACCTTCAAGCTCAGGAACATCCGCCACTGGGTAGAGCCAGACAAGGTTGGTACCCCCTGTGTTCTCCGCTCGTCTTCCCACCACGGTTCTCGTTTCGCTGGGACAGCAGCCTCATCCCCATCCACAGAGGTTGCTTGCCTGGTAAGTACGCTTGACGTTCTCCTACTCCTATGTTTAACAGCAGGGCTCCTGGTGATGTGGTGGGGCCCGTGGGCTTGTCGTGCGTTGCCTTTCGCTACTACTGCTGCTGTCCATGCACAAGAACGTGAGCAAAGCAAGGAGGCCATGCAGGCCACGAGGCCCACCTTCCGTGAACTCATCGTAGCCACCGCACACCCCATTACCCACAACAGAGCTTGACGTGTGTGCGACGACACACAGTACTGAGCAAGCTGAACAGCGGAGGATCTCTGATGTGGCGTGACTCACCATGGCCTGTCTGACATACGAGGACACATCATGTGACATCATGTCACATGTGACATGAATTCCCACTGACCAAGGGGTCCGCGAACATTCACCGTCACCCCCCACGGACAAACGCTGGTGTCGGGCTGGTTGCTGCCCATACTGACCACAACCCCCTCCTGTATGTGTAGCCAGGGATGACGCTCTTGGTGTTGGTGGTGCTAGCGGTGCTTGACTGCTGCCGTGGCTTTGTAGCAATCCCTCCGGCACTGCCATTACGTGTCACTCGGCCGGCCTGGTTGCCGTCAGCAGGTGAGCAATGGAGAATCTAATTCATTAATTCATCGTGTCAAACATAGCCCTGCGCTTGTGATGCATGCCTGCGGCGGTACTGCTGTTCGAAAGACACCGTTGTGTTCTTGCTTTATTGGAGCAGGCACAGAGTGCCTGCACCTCCTACCTCCTTCCTCGCGACGAAAAAATGCGCTCAGCGCACAACTGGTTGTCTGCCGCAACATGCATTGTGGGTTCCCCCACGCTAGCGTGCCGGATCTTCGGCTATACACTGGTGCATCATCATGCCCAATGTCAACAACGTGACACCCGTACTATTATTGCGAGCATTGCCTTGTGGTAGGTATATACCCTCTTTGTCCCCCACCCTACACATGGTAGTCGGAATTCCCCTGTTTTTGACTGCTGTGCTTCGATGTTTGCTGGAAGAATTGATAAGCTGCAACATGCTTTTAACGAAGTTACCATGTGTACCCTATGGACTATCCTGTACATGTTCGGGCACCCCAACACTCAGGGGCATACCGTTCTACCTGGTAAAGTTTCACTACTGCTTTACCACGATCTAAGATTTGATGCCCCTACAAACATATCCACGAAACGCATTTCAGCTGTTGAGTATCTCCCTGTCCTTGCGCCGTGGAATTCGTTGGCTTGTTCGCTTCATCTATTGATAATTGAACTGCTGTGCAAGGATCGCCTGCTTACAGCAGTACCAGTCTATTTAGTAGAGTATCACAACAGATAGGAATCAGTTCCACGGATAACCTCTGGTCAATCGATGCGCCTTGCCCCATCCAATGCAAGCCCCTCAGCCCTATCTAATAACAATGTGAATCAGTCAAGGCTTTATATTTTCTGAGAAAAGAATGACGAGCCTGCTGCGCCACTGCTGTTGTTACCATGTTTTCCACCATCGATTGCAGGAGTCACCTCTGGTTTGTCCATGTCCACGCCTACGATATATGGAGTTCCCAACAGCGGGTGGAAATCCCCACAGTGGAACTGGGGATCAGCCTCGGGGACCGGGCATGATTGCGCAGCGATCTGCCGAAGGACATATGGAACGAAAGAAGCTCGGCAAGAGCTGGTCTCCAGCCTACTGTCGGGCGGGACTGCTGTTGATTTTGAGGAAGTCAAGCTGACAATGGCGCTAGCTTGGCAGAATGGGCGGTGGGACGGGAGCGACGGCGGCGACGGTGGATACGGAGACGTGCTGACGATGATGGCGCAGGCAAAGCGGTACGAGGAAGGCTCGGAAGAGGAGCGTGCACGCAAGCTTGTCGAAGACATGCGGCCGAGGTTTGCTCTTTTGAGCCCAACCAAGGAGCAGATGGTTGCGATGGATGAGCTGACCGCAGATTCGAATGATGTACTCGCAGCACGCAATCGATGCTGTGGACTAGTTCTACAAGCAATGGGATTTGTTGAGAACGGTTGATGGCCTACTCAACTATGTCTGACAAAACGTAACTATTTTTAAATAGTACCCCAATTGGCGAATAACCCCCGTCAAACTTAGTATTTCTGTACGAAGCTCGCCCCGGTTGAGACGTCGAGCGCGATAGGCTAATGAAGTCGCGTGCAGTTGTGCCTCCAGCTGTTTCAGGTCAAGGGAGGCTGCAGTCAGCACCCGTAGTGTGTGCGTGTGTTTTGTTGGAGTATAGTATAATAATTGGTGCAGATGAGACTGGCTACTAGTCTATTCTCTACTTCTCCTTCAGCAGCAATGAACTCATGGTTGACCTATTTCTGAATGGTGCGATTTTGGTTTCATGATTATCCGCGTTCAACATGATCCGTCGCAGTTTCACATACAATCTGTGCTTCACGCACCACACCCTCGCGCACATGTACCCAGATTGCCTCAAGAGAAACAAAACCGACCATGTTTCATGGGACACATGGTGTGCCCTGTTTCTCATGAAAATCTACCATATAGTGCCCTAGACGGTAGAACAGGCACAATATTACCCTGATACCGCGATAGCCGCCCTGAAAAATGCTTGTTGGTTGCAATAGATTGGTAGCGTTGCCTATCGATTCATGTTGTTGTTCGAAACCGTTAATATCACGTGGCCGGGGGGTTGGAAACACTTTATTGTAGAACCCTGTCCAGGCGCCTTGCCGCGCGGCTCTTATCCCTCGCTTTCCTCGCCCTCTCCCGGTCCAACCCCTTCCTCGTCGTGAGTGAGATCTACTGGGCCGAGCGTGCCGTCAAGCCCGTGAAGCTCCGGTACAGGGTTGGATAACCGCCCGGGAATCTTGGCGTGGATATCCTCGTCTCGCAGCTCTGGTATTTGCTCAGGAAAAAGGTCGAGTTTGCCGTGCAGAAATAGGACCATCTCCACGTACTTGGCATCACCTGCGCTGCTCGATGACGTCATCATTCACCAAGCATCAGTCAAGTCGCGCTCGAGCACTGTCGCCGACGCTGGTGCCCCGAAGTCCACACGGGCTGCCCTGGCCAGGAGTGGGTACGAGCCCTCCCACTTCTCCCACCACTTGAGCACACCCTCGCAGCCCAGGTCGTCCGTCAGTGAGCCGGCCTCCACACCCCTCAGCGTCTCGAACTCGGCGCAAGCCATCGGCTCGAACGTTGGCTGCTGCGACGCGTTCGCCCCCACCCTGCGTTTCTTGAAAAGTCGGAGGCTGGTGAACTTCGCCGTAGCCGCGTCCTCGTTCTTGTTTCTGGCCCTGGCGACTGCTGGGTGCGAGCTTTTGGGAGCGGCCGCCGGGCGCGCCTGCTTTGCGACTGACTCGTGTTGCTCCGGGCCCGCCTGCTTGCGCTCCATCTCCTTCGTCGCCAGCTCCACAGCCAAGGTGATGATCTTGTCGGTGATTCTCTTCGTGACAAACGCCGCGTGCACTTTCGACGAGGCGAGCTTGTCCACGTACTGGAGGTCAGCTGTAGTCGGGTGTAGGCCCATCTGCATGTCGAACACGAAGTCCGTCGTCTTCGCGGAATCGGCGGGCTTGTAGCATCTGTCGAATTACCTACGGTCAAGGGCGGACGCAAGGTGTTCGCGAGCGTCGCGACCTACCCGAGTTAGGTGATTGTGCAACCTGGGGACGCTGGTGGCCTTCGGTTCCACGCCACCGGCGCCCTCCGGCCTACCCTGTGCCCGCGCCGGCGTCAGGACGTCGAGCCGGGCGTCGACGTTGAAGGTGCTGAGCTTGAGTGCCGCTAGGCCAAGCGCCGCAGCTTGTCCCGTGGGGACGTGGGTTTGCTGGTACGTGACGATGAGTTCCGCCACAGGCTTGATGACGGAGTACAGCTCGTCGATGTCGTGCTCGTGCGGCGCCAGAGGGTTGACGCTCCCTTCCCTGGCGTACACGCCGTCGATGTCAACACGGTTGACGATGGTCGCCTCGAGGACGCCGCCCACACCAGACCACCGCTGCGGTGCCACGTTGACCAGCTTACGGTGCAAGCATTGCGAATAGTGCCGAACTTGTTCTTCCTGGAAGATAGCCTGTTTTGGGTTGGGGGGGGAGCTGCGGGAAGTTAGTCTACCAGAAATAAAATAAAACAGAAGGGTGTATAACGTACACGAAGAATAAAACCCATGGCAAAAGCGTAGCCAAAATGTATTGAAGCAAGGGGGCTCATAGGAGGTGGTAGGCGCTCTGGTGTACGTTGTTGCCATATGATGCCAAGACATACAGTAGGCGCACAGCGCACAGACAGGAACACAAGTACAAACGGTTACATTCACCTGTGCTCCTGGCGACTTGGACTTGCGAATGTGCTCCACGACTTTCTTCACCGCCAACACCATTTTGCGCGCGGCGCGATTCCCTGGCTTTCGCGAGTCCACGCGAGTACCGATGGCCTGCAGCTTGACGGTGCAAACGCGAACCGTTGACGAGAGCAAGAAATATCAAGCGCAGGTCGTGAAGTAATCTGCTTCTTGAGATGGCAGGGGGAGCGGTTCGTCTAACGCGATGTGCTAACANGGGGGGGGGGGGGGGGGGGGGGGGGGGGGGGGGTGCTCGAAGTCGTGCATGCCGTAGTCGTTAAACCATTGACCTTGCATCCCTACATCGTCGGGACGGAGCACGCCGGGTTCTCACTGTTCGTGGGTCTGCGAACATTGGTGTTGGATACATGTGCTGGATGGTTTGGTGTCATGCAGACTGGTAAGATTGCCGTTTGGAAGGGGGCACCGCGATGATTCACGAGGCCGCTCCATGCTGTGGGAGCCGCTCTTTGAGCGCTTCCTCTTTCGTCCGTGTGAAGGACGGTCGTCTACCTCTCGTGAAGTTTATACATCACCAAAACAGTCTCACCCGATAAATAAGTGTCGTAGGCCGAAAACACTCTAGAGTTTTTGCGCCTCGAGGGAAGCCACATTGGGATGAGCTCTGCTGGAGACGAAGAGCGCACTGCTGCGAGCGGAGAACAGATCCACCCGCCGGTGCAGATGGGCAGCGATGCGGAGCTTGCAAGTTTGCAACTGCAGGTTTCGCGATTGGCGGCCCTGGTGGAGGACGATAAAGAAGGAGCCTGGCAGCGTCGTGGCGGATGCAGCCAGTAGGGGCGGCTGGATTGCCGCCACCNGTGCAGGAGGGCCGCGACGCGGAGCTTGCAAGTTTGCAACGGCAGATTTCGCAATTGGCGGCCCTGGTGGAGGAGTCGGTGAAGAAGAAGGAGCCTGGCAGCGTCGTGGCGGATGCAGCCAGTAGGGGCGGCTGGATTGCCGCCACCGGAGGCCAAGAGCCCCTGCAGCCGCACGGCGGAGGCGGGGGGTTTATCCAGCAGCAAGCGAGAGATGGTGGGCAAGGACCACGGCAGCTGCTGGAAGGCGGCTGGGCCAGCAGATCGGGAGCGAACCCTGTTGGACCAGCCGGAGTGGGCCCGGGCATAGGACCGGACTACGGGGAAGCGAGGGGGTTAAACCC